GCTTACCACCACTAGGAGTTTGTCAGAGTCGTTGGTCTTTAATTATAATCATCTGTCTCCCTGTTCTACTGCATCCCAGAATAAAACACGGCACCAAAAAAATGTAAAAATATATATTCAGTATATTTAATATGTTTTTGTCCGCAACTCGCCGTCACGCCGTGACGGAGATTCCCGAGCCTGTTTGGTCCAATGGGAGGCGTGCTCTCCTCAGCGCTCACCATGACAACGAGACTCCCAGCAGTGACGTCGCCATGTAAACATTTGCATATGCATTCCTATAAAGCACGGCGGTTCTCGCTCGGTGTTGTCAGTTCTCTCGGGGCTGCCCTTAGAAATTGACCAAGGTAAGTTCAAAATAAACTTCTCTTTCTAAACACCTGTGTCTCGTGTTTTTATTGGTCATGTACAGCAATACACTGTCATACAGGTCTGTTGAATGCATTTGTACGCAACGTGGTTTGACAATAAAGTAGCCTAACGAGTAAATAGTTGTTAAAAATGTACCTTCATTAGTCAACATTTGGGGAAGGTAGTAAAAAGTTAATCAAAGATGTCCTAAGACATAATGGTAATGTTATGGTTGTTACATGACTGTATTTATTATTATGTATGTATGTTTAAAACCAGCAGAATATACTATATATTTAACATGTCATGAACTTACTGTTCTTCAAAAAAATTGCTCAATAAAAATTTCCTTAAGACAAGAATGGGTATTGTTTTGGTCTTTTTTTTTTTCTTTTTTTTTTTTTTTTGTCAAACTACCGTAGGTTTTAAGTTACTAGAGCAGATATAGGCTACCTATATCATTATATTGGTAGTCAGAGTTATTTTAATGACCCAAATCGAGTAAAATGTCTCCTACTCAAGTACTTTTTGGATGCAAAAGTCAAATTTACAGTTTTCAACAACAAAATTTTGTCTCGTAAAAATGACCAGTGGGGTGTGAGAAAAAAGTTAATGTCGACATATATATTATATATAAAAGAAGTTGAACAAGTTGTCATAATATTTAGTCATAATGCATTTTTCTGTACATTTCTATTAGACGTTTTTTTTTTCTAAATCTATAATTGGTAAATTGCTCCCAGGTCAATCTGGACTTTGTCTAATGAAGGTGAGGTGTATCTGAAAGGAGATTGTCCTATGTTCACATTTCTACTTTTGTTTTGGGTTTGTTTTTTGTTTTCTTTGTCCTATGGAGTGCTGTCTTTTCCTTTCTGTATCACAATGACATGATCTGGCAACAAATCACAGTACTACAAGCCGCAAAAAAATGAAATAAATTAGCCGTAGCTTACATGAGGACGTCCATCCAGAGTACGCTGTTACATTGACAACATGAGTAAGTAATTTGACTGTCTTATCCGTACACAATGACACAAGGACTTGTCATTCTGACGGCACTGACATGTTCATTGAGAGATGAACCAAGGACTTTAAGCAAGAGACTGGCCTTTGCAGGTAATCCATGCTGTTTGGCTATTTGTATGTGCTGTTTTGAGAAATGCACTTACTGCTTAGCAAATTTCAAATCTGAGAAGTTTACCAAAGCGACTGAAAAAAAAACTGTAATACAACACAAGTTAATGCAAAGATGAAAAGTCTGCAAAGACAAAAGTGTGTATTTTTATTTGCACATATCACTTTATAAAAATAGTAGCGTATACATAATTCGGTTTTATATTTTTGGCTTAATATTTAATACTCGTTTTGATGTAACCATGTCTATAGTGGAATGGAACATCACAACCGTGGTTTCTGCAGGTGTCACTCACTATTTCAAGTGTATGACTTTTTAAGTCTTTTCTTCAAACCATTGTGACCCCGACATTTCTCAGAGGTGGCTATAAATATACAAATGTTGCACACATAACAATAGGCCTATATAAACATGAGCATATTGCCAACACAAAAAGTGCAACAGTCTTAACAGTCATGGGCTACATAGTTTGTACAATCATTTGTTCATTTCTTTAATTTAATATTAATAACCTAACCTCAAGGAGACTGGTGGACAGCATGTGTTCAGGACAAGTCCATTGGTTTAATTTTGGAGATCATCCTCAATGGTCAGTTGTGGCCTGTGTTCATTTTCAATTTGATTACCATAAAGGGGTCAGAAAGTTTAACCTGGTGCTATAAGTTCAGTCTGTGCTGTTGATCTAACGTACAATCTAATCTAATACACAATTCTATGACAAAAATTAAGGGCCGATGGCTCTTTATTTGCATGCGATCCTTGCATGCATGAAATATTGCACATCATGACCAGTTTTGCTTGCTAACTGAAAACGTGCTAGATATAATGCAGTTTTTCGTTCAGAATTGTGGTATTTTTAAAGTACTATCAAGTTTTCTCACTGGCGAGCGACATGATCTAGTGGGTCCGTCATCTTTAATGTGCGCGTTGGTGATTTCAGGAGGCGTGGCTTTGGACAGCAGGGGAGGGATTGTATTTGAAATATTATGCTAACCAGTTAGCATTTTGGCAGATCACCTAGTGCAGCTTTAACTGATGTCACACTAAAGCTCCGATCTGTCAGAAGTCAAACTGTGGCATTTAAATATGGTCAGTAGTAAAGTAGAACTTATTGTGGTATTTTCAGCATTTTTTGTTAGCATGATTTGGAGGGGCTCAAAAAAATAAGCCAATGTTGTTCTTGAAAGTACCTTTTTGACCTTTGAAAAAGTACATAGTTAATGGCATAAAGACACACTGAAGGGGGGGGGGGGGTTTCACTCATCAAAACAACTAATTAAATAAAAGACACCAAACATCCCCTAAAAGGTCATTCAGGGTGACAATAACAGTTCAAGCATCTAAAAATATTATTCCTTCATTTTCTTTTCGGCTTGGTCCCTTTATTATTACACGCCACCGTGGAATTAACCTGCCAACTTATCCAGCACAATTTTTACGCAGCGGATGACCTTCCGGCCGCAACCCATCTCTGGGAAACATCCACACACACACACACACACACTCAGTCACACTCATACACTACGGAAAACTTAGCCCACCCAATTCACCTGTACGGCATGTCTTTGGACTTGTGGGGGAAACCGGAGCACCCGGAGGAAAACCCACGCGAATGCAGGGAGAACATGCAAACTCCACACAGAAACGGTAGCTGACCCAGCTGAGGCTCGAACCAGTGACCTTCCTGCTGTGAGGCAACGGCACTACCTACTGCGTCACCTAAAAAATATGATATGTATGGCAAATTTATATCCTAAATAGAGGGTCTCATCACTACAATTTATTTGTGTCTTTTTATTTTTGACAACCAAAGAGTGCTTAAACGGTCGGACGTCTAAAAAGAGACAGACGCTTGCTTAGCATGGCACAAGGTCCATTAGACCTTGTTTTATTGGATTTGGCAACCAAAGTGTTGAGTCCCTAAAGAGATAGTTCACCCTAAAAATGAAAATGCACTCACCATTTACTGACCTACATGCATGTAGTTCTACACGTTTATTCATACGTTTGCATTACTGAGAGCAGGAGAGAGACCGGCTGCACTAGTAGGCAGTAACGTTATCTTCATAATATTGTTTAATTAGCATAAATGATTAGCAAATGAATCTGTCTCGCCAGCCTTTACAAGTGAAGGAATTATCTACACACAATCTGAATTCCCAATTAGAATAATACTACAAACTGTATAATACTATTCATGAAAACACCTAAATAACAGACTAATCCAAATGCCCAACACGAGCCAGCTGCGCTCCAGACCAGATCAGCTCGATGACGTATAATGTCTCCGACGCCGCCCGTAGTCCCATTTAGCAACTTGATAGCAAGCGTCTTTTTAAAGAAGCATAACCCATTAAAAAATTCAAGAGTGTGCTGTAAGTGATGTGTTTTATGTCGTAGAACAAAACGTGAAAGTATTTTGAGTTTGTGTTTGCCACGAACCTTATTTAAGCGATTTTACTGAAACCCCATCGAGAAAACCCATTGACTTTGGGACGAAGGAACCGGAACTGCTAAAATTCTAACTCGCTTCCGGGTTTTTGCATACAAATTGACGTCATAGTTCCTCCACTCAATTAGGAGTAGGCTAACCTCAACAAGACTGACTGCTCATTTAGTCTACATCTAGGCCTATTGAACTACGTGCTTTAGCATAGGCCAACGAACTGCAGGGCAGACACCAATTCTCACTTAAGCTCATTTCAGGTTATGATTAGACCTGTCCAGTTTCATCTGGAACGCATCCCAGATGACCTTCTGAAGTGGTTTGAGCGATCGGATGGATATCTGATCAGAACAAAAAACAAACAAAAAAAAAAAAAAAACCGAATGAAGTGAGCAAACAGCCTCAAAAACACAGACGTGACAGGAATATATATTGAATATAAATATATTATATTCATTATTTGATAAATATATAATATTCAATTACATAAAATAATTAAAAGGACAAACGCTGGACCTTTTGGCATCACTTTTTCAGTTTAGGTCACAATTCACAGTATTAACAAACAATTAAACTAACCCTGCTAGCATAATAAACTAACTAGCTGTTTGTTAATAATTAGTAAGGTACTAATTGGGTTTACGTTTAGGTTAGGGCTAGGCATGCCCCCACCCCGGCTACGGGCATGATGTAGTGGAGTAGCATGTAACATGCTATTAGGTTATGTGACCGCTAGATGGCGATCTTGGATAATAAGAAGCTTACCACCACTAGGAGTTTGTCAGAGTCGTTGGTCTTTAATTATAATCATCTGTCTCCCTGTTCTACTGCATCCCAGAATAAAACACGGCACCAAAAAAATGTAAAAATATATATTCAGTATATTTAATATGTTTTTGTCCGCAACTCGCCGTCACGCCGTGACGGAGATTCCCGAGCCTGTTTGGTCCAATGGGAGGCGTGCTCTCCTCAGCGCTCACCATGACAACGAGACTCCCAGCAGTGACGTCGCCATGTAAACATTTGCATATGCATTCCTATAAAGCACGGCGGTTCTCGCTCGGTGTTGTCAGTTCTCTCGGGGCTGCCCTTAGAAATTGACCAAGGTAAGTTCAAAATAAACTTCTCTTTCTAAACACCTGTGTCTCGTGTTTTTATTGGTCATGTACAGCAATACACTGTCATACAGGTCTGTTGAATGCATTTGTACGCAACGTGGTTTGACAATAAAGTAGCCTAACGAGTAAATAGTTGTTAAAAATGTACCTTCATTAGTCAACATTTGGGGAAGGTAGTAAAAAGTTAATCAAAGATGTCCTAAGACATAATGGTAATGTTATGGTTGTTACATGACTGTATTTATTATTATGTATGTATGTTTAAAACCAGCAGAATATACTATATATTTAACATGTCATGAACTTACTGTTCTTCAAAAAAATTGCTCAATAAAAATTTCCTTAAGACAAGAATGGGTATTGTTTTGGTCTTTTTTTTTCTTTTTTTTTTTTTTTTTGTCAAACTACCGTAGGTTTTAAGTTACTAGAGCAGATATAGGCTACCTATATCATTATATTGGTAGTCAGAGTTATTTTAATGACCCAAATCGAGTAAAATGTCTCCTACTCAAGTACTTTTTGGATGCAAAAGTCAAATTTACAGTTTTCAACAACAAAATTTTGTCTCGTAAAAATGACCAGTGGGGTGTGAGAAAAAAGTTAATGTCGACATATATATTATATATAAAAGAAGTTGAACAAGTTGTCATAATATTTAGTCATAATGCATTTTTCTGTACATTTCTATTAGACGTTTTTTTTTTCTAAATCTATAATTGGTAAATTGCTCCCAGGTCAATCTGGACTTTGTCTAATGAAGGTGAGGTGTATCTGAAAGGAGATTGTCCTATGTTCACATTTCTACTTTTGTTTTGGGTTTGTTTTTTGTTTTCTTTGTCCTATGGAGTGCTGTCTTTTCCTTTCTGTATCACAATGACATGATCTGGCAACAAATCACAGTACTACAAGCCGCAAAAAAATGAAATAAATTAGCCGTAGCTTACATGAGGACGTCCATCCAGAGTACGCTGTTACATTGACAACATGAGTAAGTAATTTGACTGTCTTATCCGTACACAATGACACAAGGACTTGTCATTCTGACGGCACTGACATGTTCATTGAGAGATGAACCAAGGACTTTAAGCAAGAGACTGGCCTTTGCAGGTAATCCATGCTGTTTGGCTATTTGTATGTGCTGTTTTGAGAAATGCACTTACTGCTTAGCAAATTTCAAATCTGAGAAGTTTACCAAAGCGACTGAAAAAAAAACTGTAATACAACACAAGTTAATGCAAAGATGAAAAGTCTGCAAAGACAAAAGTGTGTATTTTTATTTGCACATATCACTTTATAAAAATAGTAGCGTATACATAATTCGGTTTTATATTTTTGGCTTAATATTTAATACTCGTTTTGATGTAACCATGATATTACAAAAAAAGAAGAGAGTAATGTATTGTAAAACAGATATTTATAAAAATCTATAGTGGAATGGAACGTCACAACCATGGTTTTTGCAGGTGTCAGTCACTATTTCAAATGTATGACTTTTTAAGTCTTTTTTTTTTTTAAACCATTGTAACCCCGACATTCTCAGAGGTGGTTATGAATATACAAATGTTGGACAAATAACAGCCCCTGCCTGCATATAGGGCACCTATAATTGTTATTTCTGTTTAAAATGCATCAAAAAGACAAATCAGGATACAATAAACTTGTTCTAATTAAAAGGCTGTTGTTATAAAATTAAATAACGATATACAGTATAACCAATTATTTTCAAGAGGCCAATCAGCTTTCAGTAAAATTTCCTTGCGTCATCACCTTTATTAGTAGGAGAGAAATCTTTACATTTACTTACATTTACAAGTCTTACAAGTCTCGTGGAAATTCGAGTGAATAAAGTTTTAAAAACAACACCAAACAAACGAGCTCATTTATAAATGTACCATAATGAAGAGGTGGACGATGATGATATTATTCTCCATTCGTGAAATCACCAGGCATCATAAAGTGCGTTCAGAACAATTATTGGATTATTTTCTGAGGATCATTTTTATAATTATTTATGCTAAATATGACATTATTGACGATTCAGGCTAAAGCAGGGCATTACGAAAGGTCATATGACTGATGTCCCTGACGTCACTTCTCGCGTAAATGTAAGGCCCGTTGAGAGACGACTGAATACGTGCATATAAACCCAATCAAACCCATCGCAATCTGTTGGATGAGAGACGAGGCGACTTTGAAGAATATTTCTGTGCGGATCCCGAGAATTCTGAAGCTGTTCAAGGATTTCTCTCTCTCTCAGTTTTTTTTTCTGTAATTTGTGCCATTCTGCTCTGGTAATATTTTTGAAATCTGTTTTCTTTCTAGGATGGTCATTCCACACCTGTGCTTGTGGAAGTGGCAATGATGCTTAAGTTGATGAATGCTCCACAATGTTCAAACATCATCGGATTACACGACTGGGTCAAGAATGAGAACAACTTCATTCTCAGTCTGGAGTACGCAGATTCATGCCAGACCTTGGAACAGTACATCAAAGATACATTGGACATTAGTGAAAACCGAGCACGCCAGTTAATGCGTCAGTTGATACAAGCTGTTAAGTTCTGCACTGAGCGTGGAGTTTTCCATGGAGATATCCACACGGAGAACATCCTGGTGACTCAACCCCGATTACAGCTCAAATTGATCGACTTTGGTTGTGCTCAGCCCACAATAGCGATCAATATCTAGGTGAGTTGGCATTTTGTGTTAGATTCTTTGCTCACAGTTTTGCCATATGAAATGACTGAATTCTGAAAATGTCTCTCTTATAGGAGTTATTTTCTGCACGCCACCTGAGGTTTTCAGGGATCCCACATTCTATGCTGACCCGCTAAACGTCTGGACAATTGGCATCGTGCTGTATGAAATCTTGCATGCAGAATTGCCCTTTCGTGACGAAGATTCAGTAATGTTTGAATCCGCTGAGATACACCCCAGGTTATCTACAGGTAATCAGACACCTCTGAACAATCTCAGCCTCAGTGACAGAATAAAATATGTCAGTCACGAGTAGAAAAGGATTAAATATAATAGTAACTGTAGATATTAAAGTTATTTTATTGTGGATGTTTTGTAATTTGATGTTGTAAGATTTAAACACGTTCATGAATCTTGAGTATGCAGACATATTTCACACTCTCTGTGTCCCTTTTCAGCATGCCAGGACCTGATTTCCCAGTGTTTCATCTGCTGTCCACTTTAGCGGCTGCAGTTACATCAGTTAGAAAAGCAACAGTGGTTCAATCTAACGACCCCAAATCTTATGGAGCTGTTAGACGCCAGGATGTAGAGGAACACACCTAGCACAAAAGTACATCTTCATTCTTTCTTTGCTTCATGCTTTTCCTGTTGTTTTCTCTTCTGCTCTGTTTAGAGTCACAAGTCTTATTTGACAGCCCTTCATATCACTGCTTAAATAACTGTGTTGTTTCTGATTGTTTTTTTTCTCTTCATTTTAGAAAACACTAAAGAAGCGAGAAAGAGGAGGAGCAGCATTTCCAGAAATTTCACAAGCCTGTTAAAGTTATTAATTACTGCCTCACGTTAATCCAAACCTCTAAAGGCTGATTTATACTTCTGCGTCAAACACCGGCGTATGCTACGGCGCTGACTCATAGCCCTTCGCAGTGGCCGTCGCCGTCACTGACGTATACCTCTCAAAAAATGTAACTACACGTCGCAACAACGCGTAGCGCAAGCTCTGTGATTGGTCGGCTTGGTAGCGCTGACGAGTCGGGGCGGGACCGAGAGCCGCGCGAATGGCGCGAGCCCGATGTAGCGATTGTTTACAAGTGTGGAGTCCCGTGAAGGAGCTCCGGATGGAAAGTTTTGTTTTGTGTTTACCTTATAGTTAAAGCTGTTGCACGTCCGCCGGTTTCTGCCTCAAAATGAGCGAGTTTAAGTCACTTGTACAACCAGGAAGTGTTCAGGAAACGCAAAACAGAAGCGAAGAAACTCGACACAGAGGAACATTTACACATCACTGCCATTTAGCGTTTCGGAAGTGTTAATGCAGACCAACAGAGACAGCGTGCAAAAGTATAAATGCACAGCTGCGCCGTGAGTTACGCCGGTCACTTGACGCAGAAGTATAAACCAGGCTTAAGACCTTACTTTTCTTCTGTGTCAGTTCATGACATGTGTTGATAAGAGCTCTGTCCTGCACTGTATGTGTGTCGCACTTAAATGCATTTAAAGTGCTACAATGCCCACATCAACCTATTTTGGGAAAAACTGAAAAAAAAACTTGACTTTTTTGGGGCTAAGCCCCTTATCCCTTTGACATAGCAACGCCCCTGCTTTAGCCACCGGGCCACCCCCCTGTGCAGGGCCCTGGGTAGCACAATCGCCTCACAGCAAGAAGGTCGCTGGTTCAAGCCTCGGCTTGGTCAGTTGGCGTTTCTGTGTGGAGTTTGCATGTTCTCCCCCTGTTGGTGTGGGTTTCCTCCGAGTGCTCCGGTTTCCCACACAAGAATTCACCAAGAAGGTGAATTGGGTAGGCTAAATTGTCCATAGTGTATGAGTGTGAATGAGTGTGTATGGATGTTTCCCAGAGATAGGTTGCAGATGGAAGGGCATACGCTGCGTAAAACATGGGCTGGATAAGTTGGTGGTTCATTCCTCTGTGGCGACCCCGGATTAATAAAGGGACTAAGCTGAAAAGAAAATAAATGAATTAATATATTGCTTCCATCATCTAGAAAACAATTTAAATATATATTTTTTTGTAGATTAAACAGTAGCTTATTGTGTGCTAGAGAATTGAGAGAATAGAGTTTGTGCTGGAATAATTATGATTATAATATTATTATAAATTATGTTTATGTTTAAATTACAATTTGAAAAATGATGTGCCTTATGAAGCAGTAATATTTTTGAAAGTGTCATTGAAAACGACTTTAAAATAAGGTTAATTTTTAATAGCGAACACAAATAAATAAAATATTGTTAAATGTATTGCTCATTGTTGGTTCTAGTTTATACATTTGCTACTATTAACAAATGTTACCCGCATTTTTAGTAGTTTTTTCTACAATAATCAACATTATGTTGTAAATATAATTTGTTATAATTACACAATTTACAAGTAACAAATCCAATACAAAGTGTGTGCCACGTGTGTATGTGCGTGAGCGTATGTGTGTCTTAAAATGTAAAATACACACACATTCACACAAATGTACACAACATAGTGTTACGTCCCTTCCCCTTTTTGGTCTAGGGTTGGGGAAGGAAAATAACAAAGAAAATTAAAATTTAGAATTTGAGAAAAAAAAAAAAGAAGACCAAATTAATGAATTGTGTATAAATAATCAAATTTTGAGGGAACACTTCAATCCTGCCTAAGAAATGTGAAACAACCACAAGAGTAAACTTAAATTATTTTATTATTTGGTTCTTAAATCAATAAACAATAAATGAAGCATAAATCTCAGGAGAAGGATTAACCAAAACAACAAACAAAACAGGTCTAGTTCAGGAGGAGTACTAAATAACCTAATTGCAGGTAAAAGAAAAGAAATGAAACAACACAGGCTTTCCTCAACTCCCTTACTATCAATAAACACAGTCAAACAATTACAAAATTAAAAATGGCAACCTCTCCCTACAGCTTCAATTTTTAAATCAAAAAGTCAAACAAAGAAACAATACAATTACCTTTTACGTACCACACAAAAGAATATATGTATTTAAATCACAACTCAGAAAACAGACACACTGCCTGTAAAATTACACAATGCAAAAATAAGCAAGTTTCTCAAAGCACAGAAACTAAAATTGAACTCACTAGCCCATTAACTCCTTTTTACAAACAACCAGATCAACACCCACAACAATCACGAGTCTGGAGTAGGGGAGAAGTGAACCTCTCCGTGGTTTGAGACGCACTGCTCTTTTGTAGCAGCGCATTACTGCAGCACGCTCCATTGATGAGCACCACCTGGGCCCAATCAGCTCTACCTAGTGAGCAGGCAGAGAGACACCGTGAAAGTAAAAGAAACACACAACATAACCACTCCCAATGGACAGTAAACACACAAATAAATAATAAATAAATAAATACATCCAAGGGATGTAACACCCCCACCACTAAGAATACAAATCAAGGTTTGTAAATAAAGATGGTTTTACCTTATCACATTGCTTAAGGTACCTGGGTCAGAAATGAACCCCACATTTACACTCTAGAAAGAGCATCAGCCATAACATTTTCACTTCCCCTCTTGTGCTGAATGTCCAGGTTGTACTCTTGGATGGTAAGGGCCCACCGTAATAAGCGTTGGTTAGAACCGGACATGCGAGAAAGGAACACCAAAGGGTTATGGTCTGTGTACACAATAATGGACTGAGGACTGTTTCCCAAATAAACTTCAAAATGTTGAAGTGCCAGTAACAGGGCTAGAGCTTCCTTTTCAATTACGCTGTAGTTCTGCTGGGTCTTAGAGAACTTTTTAGAAAAGTAGGACACTGGATGGTCAATGCCGGCCTCATCCTCTTGCAGCAGAACTGCCCCAGCTCCGGTAGCACTTGCATCCACTTGCAGACTGAAAGGTTTGGTAAAGTTTGGAGCTGAGAGAACAGGGGCTTGAAAAAGGAGGTCTTTCGCACCATTAAAAGCAAGTTCACAATCGTTGGTCCATTCAAACTTTTTGCATGTGCTGAGCAGGTCTGTGAGGGGAGAGACTAGAGAAGAAAAATTGGGACAAAAACTTCTGTAGTATCCACTCATTCCAAGGAACCGTCTCAGCTCCCGCTTATTACAGGGCACAGGGAATTCAATTATGGCTGTAATTTTGGCATCAACAGGTTTCACTAATCCTTGACCAACTTGCTTGCCCAAGTATGTGATTACACCTTTTGCAAATTCACATTTAGCAAGGTTTAGGGTCAATGATGCCGATGTCAAACACTTAAACACCTTTTCAAGGGTTTTCACATGATCAGACCAATTGTCTGAATATACTACAACGTCATCCAGATACACTTCACAGTTGGTTACATCTGACAGAACCTGCAGCATCATACGCTGAAAGGTAGCAGGTGCATTTCGCATCCCGAAGGCCAGGACCTTGTAATGTAGAAAACTGTCAGGGGTGACAAATGCAGAAATCTCAGATGCACGTTGACTGAGTGGCACTTGCCAGTAACCTTTTAGTAGATCCAACTTTGTGACATACTTGGCCAAACCAACTCGATCGACACAGTCTTCCATTCTGGGAAGGGGGAAAGAGTCAGGTTTAGTAAGATTGTTAACTTTTCTATAATCGGTGCAAAATCTAAAAGTGTTATCTGGTTTTGGGACAAGGAGGCAGGGGGAACTCCAAGGACTTTGACTAGGTTCGGCCAGGCCATGATCCAACATATACTTCACTTCAGCTTGCATGATTTCCCGTTTTCTGGGATTCACTCTGTAAGGGTGCTGCTTCACTGGTACAGCGTCTCCAACATCAATGTCATGCACACATACTGCAGTTCGGCCAGGCACATCATTGAATAAGTCAGGAAAAGCATGCAGCAAACCAGTAATATCTTTAAACTGCTCAGCAGTCAGGTGAGAAAGAAAGTGCTGAAGATCTTGCATTATAACAGAATTGTTCAGTCTTGTACAAGAAGCAGAGACATCTTTACTCACAAGATCATCCTCCTCCAAAAAGGAGTTTGAGCTTATAACAGCAGTGGCAGTGGTGGAAACTGGAAGGACAGCAGACTCATCTTGAGCTTTTCCAAGGTGATGTCGATCTACATAGGCTTTAAGTCGGTTTATATGACAAACACGGCTCTTGCATTTTCGGTCTGGGGTGGCAACAAGAAAGTTGGTCTCATTTAGCTTTCTCTCAATTAAATAGGGCCCTGCAAACTTGGAATGCAAGATGGAACCAGGAGTTGGAAGTAAGACTAGGACCGAATCTCCAGGTTGAAAGTCTCTTTTTACAGCCTTCTTGTCATAATGACACTTAATTTTTGATTGGGCAACAGAGAGATGGCATTTTGCAATGGCTTGGGCATTCTGCAGCTTTTCGCGGATAGAGGACACATAGTCATCAACAGGTACAGAATTGGAACGTGGATTCAATATCTGTTCACTCAACAGTTTTAGTGGACCTCTCAGAGTATGGCCAAACACAAGCTCAGCTGGGCTAAAGCTGAGGGACTCCTGCACAGACTCCCTTACTGCAAACATTAGAAAAGGTAAACCTTCAACCCAGTCTTTACCAGTTTCTGTACAGTAACGGCGTAGCATGGTTTTCAGGGTCTGGTGAAATCTCTCCAAGGCACCTTGACTCTCAGGATGGTAGGCAGAGGATGTCTGATGGCTTATACCTAGTTCCTTTAAAGTCTGTTTAAAGATCTTGGAAGTGAAATTTGTACCTTGGTCACTTTGGACTATTCTTGGTAGGCCAAATGTCGTGCAGAATTTAATTAGCTCTCTTACCACAGCTTTTGCTTTCAGGGTCCGCAATGGAACAGCCTCTGGAAAACGGGTGGCAGCACACATAATAGTCAAAATGTACTGATGCCCAGATTTGGCTTTGGGCAATGGCCCCACACAGTCAATTATCAACCGCTCAAATGGATCAGTTATAACAGGAATAGGGC